TGCATACTCCAGTATGGGCCTGACGTAAATGGTATACAGAGTCTTGAACGATTCCTTACTGAGGTATCGGAATGCTATCCATAGGTTTGCCAGACGCCCGTATGCTGCAGCAGTTATCTGATTGATGTGCGCCTCAGGAGATATGCTCGGTGTTATGCTTACCCCCAGATCTTTTTCCTTGAGTGAGGTTTGCAGTCTTTGGCCATCTAGACTATATTGTGTCTGCGGTCTTCTTTGCCCTTCCCCAATCTTCATGACTTTGCATTTGGCAGGGTTAAACTCAAGGTGCCAGTTGCTGGACCAGGCTTGTAGCCTGTCCAGGTCTCTTTGTAGTCCTGCCTGATCCTTGTCCGATTTGATTCTTCTTATTATCTTCACATCATCTACAAACAAGGACACTTCTGAGTCTATCCCTTCCGTTATGTCATTCACATATACCAAAAACAGCACAGGTCCTAGGACTGACCCCTGTGGAACCCCGCTTGTCACAGGTGCCCACTCTGACAACTCGTCACGTACCATGACTCGTTGTGGCCTCCATGTCAGGTATTCTGTGATCCATTGCAGTCCCTTTCCTGTTATGTGTGCCTGATCCTCTAGCTTTTGCAGTATCCTCTTGTGAGGAACTGTGTCGAAGGCCTTCTTGCAGTCCAAAAAAATGCAGTCGATCCACCCCTCTCTCTCTCTTGTCTTACTTCTGTCACCTTGTCATAAAATCCCAGTAAATTTGTGACACAGGATTTTCCTTCCCTGAAACCGTGCTGGTTGTCAATTATGCACTTGTTTCTTTCCAGGTGCTCCACCACTCTCCTCCTGATGATCTTCTCCATGACTTTGCATACTATACATGTTAGTGATACAGGTCTGTAGTTTAGTGCCTCATGTCTGTCTCCCTTATAAAAAATTGGGACTACATTTACCATTTTCCATACCTCAAGGAGTTGCCCAATTTCAATGGATGAGTTAAAGATCTTTGTTAATGGCACACACAGCATCTCTGCTCCCTCTCTAAGGACCCATGGAGAGATGTTGTCTGGTCCCACCGCCTTTGAGGTGTCAAGTTCACATAGCAGCTTCTTCACCTCCTCCTTGGTTATGTGTACCTTATCCAGCACTTGTTTATGTATCCCCCTGTTCTGATTTCCTGGAGTCCTACTGGTTTCCACTGTAAATACCTCTGTAAATCTCGTGTTTTGCTCCTCACATACCTCTCGGTCGTTTCTTGTGAGCTCTCCATCACCCTTCCTCAGTCTGATTACCTGTCCTTGACTGTTGTTTTCCTCCTGATGTGGCTATACAACAGCTTCGAGTCAGACTTGACTTTCGATGCTATGTCATTTTCATATTGTCGCTGAGCATCCCTTTTTATCTGTGCATATTCGTTTCTGGTTCTTTGGCTAATCTCTTTATTTTCCTGATTTCTCTGTCTTTTGTACCTTTTTCATTCTCTAGTACACCTAGTTTTTGCCTCCCTACACCTTTGGGTGAACCAAGGACTCGTTTTGTTCTTCCCATTATTTCTGTTTCCCTTGGGAACAAACCTTTCTTCTGCCTCCTTGCATTTTGTTGCCACATAGTCCATCATTTCTTGTACTGGTTTGCCTGTCAGTTCCCTCTCCAACTAAATGTCTTGCAGGAAGTTCCTAATGCCTGAGTAGTTCCCCCTTTTGTAGTTTGGTTTTTCCCATCCTATTCCTGCTACTCTCTCCACTTGAAGCTCAACTATGTAGTCAAAGCACAGAATCACATGATCACTAGCTCCTAGGGGCCTTTCATACATGATGTCCTCGATGTCCGAACTACTCAAGGTGAATACAAGGTCCAGTTTTGCTGGATCATCCTCACCTCTCTCTCTGGTAGTGTCTCTAACTTGTTGGTGCATGAGGTTTTCCAGCACCACATCCATCATCTTGGCTCTCTATGTTTCAGGACTCCCATGGAGCTTCAGATTTTCCCAGTAAATCTCCTTGTGATTGAAATCACTCATAACTAGTAACTTTGCTCCCCCCATGTGTGCTCTTCTGGCCACCTCGGCTAGTGTATCGACCATTGCTCTGTTGCTCTCATCGTATTCTTCTCTTGGCCTCCTGCAGTTCTGTGGTGGGTTGTACATTGCTGCAATTATCACCTTATGTCCCTCAGACTGGATTGTTCCTACTAAGTAGTCCCTTTCGCCCATGCCATCCATTCCTTCCATTTTCTCAAAACCCCACTGGTTTTTAATGAGCAGTGCAACTCCTCATCCCCCTCTCCTCCCTCTGTCTTTCCTGAGGATTTGATATCCGGGTGGAAAGACTGCATCTGTTATTATTCTGGTGAGTTTTGTTTCTGTGAGTGCTATTATGTCTGGGGATGTCTCCTTGATTCTTTCATGCTACTCCTCACACTTATTTGTTATTCCATCTGCATTTGTATACCACACCTTCAACTTCTTTTCTAAGACTGTGGTCTGGGGGATATATTGGGGTTTGGGAAGTGGGAGACCTGATAAGGAACTATGGGTGGTTGCTGTTGGGGTGGAGTTTGTAATGCAGTGCGTGGGGGGCATTGGATATGGCATGGGTGTTTTGGTTTAGACTGTTTGGTTGCACTGGGGTTGACCTGGTTGGGGGGCTTCTATAGGAAGTTGTGAGGGAGGCTGTATTTGATCTTCTTCCTGGGTCTGGGATCTCCTGTCTGTCTCCTCCATCCCCTCTCTTTTTTCCTTTCGCCTTCGTACCATCTCTCTCAGTTTCTGCCTTTCGTCTTGTGTTCTGTTGCGGTCGAGATACACCTTCCTGTATGTGTGTGTGTGTGTGTGTTTGGGAAGCAAATGAGTTACAGTACGAGGGATGAAGGAGGTAAATATTGCAATTGGTTAACAGAGAGACAGTAGAAGGTGTAGAGTGAATAGCTCCAATAAAGTCTATTATACTGATAGTAGGAGAGTAAGAAATTGATGAACTAAGATTAACTGCATGTGCAAGAAGCATGGATATTATTGCTATAACAGAGACCTATTTCAACCTGAAAATATTTTCGAATGCCATATACAGGATTATAAATTATTCTACACTGTATGGTCAACAGAAATGGTAGTGGAGTAGCGATGTTTGTCAGAGATAACATAAACTGTTTCATTAGATTTAAAAGTTTGGCTACAGTTTCTCGAGGGACGTGAAAAACTAATATTGGGTTTGATTAACAGACCTCCCAAACCTTGATAGGGAAGACTGTAAACTTTCATGAACTCTTTGATATCACTTTGTATTAGACAATAAATTTAATATTCACTCAATTGACCAACAAAGAGGCTTACATCATTGTTTTTAATGAAGTCTTTCCGCAAGGTAAGGTGTACTTACACATCATAGGCCATCTATAAGACTTCAGGCATTATCTTGGGAATTAATTACCTCAAAGCTTCCTGTAAGGTATTTTACACTTTCTTAAGTTACCACAGGAATGAAATTAATACACATGTGCAACATCTGGATATCTTTATTGTAGACGTTTCGCCATCCAGTGGCTTTATCAATACAAATTCTAGGACATAACTTGAAAACAGTAGGACTATATACAGAAGATGAGGTAATCAGTCCCTCAACCTTGGAGTAGGTGCGAAGAGCACCGTAGTCGCGGAGATTCTGAAGCAGAAGCAAGGAGCCTGGCGCTTATATAGTAACGTCAGGTGTAGCAGACGAGGGCATAGTCACTGGTAGGCGGGATTCCCCAGTGGAAGTAGGTCCTTCCCAAAGAGATGGGTTAGCTGTAGTAGTAGTTGTCGTAGTCGTGATGGTTATGTACAACTACTACAACTAACCCATCTCTTTGGGAAGGACCTACTTCCACTGGGGAATCCCGCCTACCAGTGACTATGCCTTCGTCTGCTACACCTGACGTTACTATATAAGCGCCAGGCTCCTTGCTTCTGCTTCAGAATCTCCACGACTATGGTGCTCTTCGCACCTACTCCAAGGCTGAGGGACTGATTACCTCATCTTCTGTATATAGTTCTACTGTCTTCAAGTTATGTCCCAGAATTTGTATTGATAAAGCCACTGGATGGTGAAACGTCTACAATGAAAATATCCAGATGTTGCACATGTGTCTTAATTTCATCCTGTCGGTATTATATACCATTCTTGCACTACCACAGGAATCTTGACAAGTGTGGTTCACACTAGGATTTGGCCTCACGCTGTCACATTCATGCTGGTTCCCAACAGTTAATTACTCGGTGCCAAGAACCAGCACGAACCATCCATTATTACAGTCGCCTCACTAGTCATAGCTCGCCTTTTTCCTTGGCGACCTGGCAGCCGTTATTATGTTTCTTGTAGCTTACGTCGATATACACAGATAAGCTAGTCTTAATACACCAGGGCGTCGCAGATACTCATTCCAACGTTTCCTCTAAGCTCCAGCCAAGTATTTTCAACTATAACACTCACTCTTTGCAAAATTTGATGCCAACACTTTTACCAACAATAATATAAAAATTTATCAACTGCTAATACTGTCAAAATCCAGTAAGGAATATTATATAAAATTTAATATTATATGGAATATAATATGAGATAACCCAGTTTAGTAGAAGTTTGTCCACAATACCTAGAAAATCTATTGTAACAGACTTGAAGAACGAACGTTCCCTCAATTAATAAACTTCTGTTACATTAATTTTGATGATTTCAATAATAGTAAGGATATTAATGATTGTTTAATATCAGTATAATGATTTATCATCACACCTTAACATACTGATGACTGGTGGTGTAGATCTCTGTTAATTGTCTACCTTGCCACGTATAACTCACGAAATCGTATTGACACGATTGCCAACGAACCATACCACGGGCGGGGTTAGAACCCGCAATCAGAGAGTCTGGAGTTTTGAGATTCTCTGAATGAGGGCTCTAACCCCGACCGTGGTATGGTTTGCCACGCATAATGTTCCGTGTTATCGACAGTGCCATACATAATGTTCCTTGCTGCCAACAGTGTCGACAGTGATGATCGAGGGCCCGCGTGAGCGTCACATTCAGACAGGCAGTATTCTGGCAGTGATGTGTGTGGTGCGGCATTCACCACACTCACCACCAGACCACATACTCTGGTTCCATGGAGCAACCAACATTGACTATGACTCCTCCAGGGGTGGAGTCTCAATCCAGGTAAGTGTCCTCCAGGACAGTGTCTCCATCCAGGTAGGTGTCCTCCAGGACAGTGTCTAGAGACACACATTCAGACAGACACTGTCTCTCTGTCTCTGTCTGTCTCTCTGCCTGTCTGTCTATCTGTTTATGTCTGTCTATCTGTTTATGTCTGTCTATCTGTTTATGTCTATCTGTTTATGTCTGCTTCATGCAGCGCTGTATGACCCATAAGGGTCATACAGCGCTGCATAAGAGAGACACATTTATCTGCACTGTTCTTGCCTGCAGGTGAGAGCGACGTTGTTTGTGTTGTCTTCCTGTCTGGCATATAGTCCCTGGACCTGGTATAAAATATTCCTATGAGCATATAGCTTTTGCTTCAGCTACATTTATCTAAGAGTTAAGCTCTATCGGGTTAGGACTTGATAAAACTCACCCATTACTGTTGTGTGGATTGGTGTTAGTTATATCTCCAGTTCTCACCCTGCTGTTGGTGAGGGCGGACGCAGAGCGTGCGGCTGGTGCCCTCTGGTGTCTGTATTGAGAAGTTTTGTTTTCTCAAGATGGCGGAACGCAGAAAAAGAGTCAACACTGTCTGTGTAAAATTGTTGAAAGGTGCAATATACCAGGACACCGCTGACGTCATTCTGCCTCTTGTGATAAGAGATACGTATGGAATCCCACGTGAGGATTTATATGGGATTTCTCTGAACGGCAACGCGAGAATTTTTGTGAAATTTGTGTCGTCTGCTGCGTATGTGAGTGTTGTGGATGCCTTTCAAGAAAAACGGATTGTTATCAACGCTAGTCTGGAGGTGCGCCTGCGTGATGTATCGACAAGTTATACGTGGGTTCGTCTACGTAATATCCCCTTCGAGGCAGACGAGGTGGACATCCGTCGGACTTTTGGGCGCTATGGCACCGTACAAGCTGTCCAAATTGGGCGTTGGTCCCAGGGTTTTTATGCTGGTATGCTCGCAGGTTCCTTTTCTATGAAAATAACATTGAGACATCCAATTCCCTCGTTTGTCATGTTGGAAGATTTTCAGACGCAGGTCTACGTAACCTACCCGGGCCAGGTTCGGACGTGCCGCCTGTGTGGTGCAACGGGTCATATGGCGGCGTCTTGTGAGCACCGACGAGGGAAACAACGGTCGGACCTGACAGACACTGCATCCAAAGATACGATGGAGGAGGGTGAGCTGGGCCATCAGAAGCCCACAATGGTGGACGACGTGCTGCAGATTTTACCAGCGGATGTAAAGTGGAGTGAAGCAGTGGATGCTGCAGAGGGGGTCGTCTCGACGCTACCACCAGCGTCGGAGATCGAGGCGATTGGGTGCGTGGACAGTGCGTCACCTCAGGTGGAAGAGGAGGCACAAACGCCATTGATATTGCCCAGTTTTGAAGACTTACAGAGGATCCTCAATAGCCCGGCGACAGAGGGTTTACCGCCTACATTAGCGGTGTCGCCTGTGGTCGACCATGGTCTAGCGGGACGTGTGGGCGGTGAAGATAGGCGTACGACTTTTACGTCTGTGGTGGTGACGGATGTCGAGGTACATAGAACAGACAGCGATGGGCCTATGGACTATGAGGGAGTGTCACGGAAGAGGCCCAGTACACACGTGGAGGACGATGTCTTAACACCAGGTCAAAGGTCTGGTAAAATGGTGTGGGCTGACGTAGCCAAGGGAGTTAAGGGACCCCCCTTAGAGAAGTTAAGTGGGAGTGTGGGGAAAACGGGCAGGTGCAGCAGTGGCAAGTCCAAGTCAGGTATAAAGGTGATGGGAAAACGAAATGAGAAAACCTAACCAGAGAGTTCAAGTGTATAACAATGAATGTCAATGGCCTCAGAGCAGAGGTCAAGAGACGTTGGGTAGAGGTATCGCTCAGACGTATGAATGTTGACGTTTTTTTTTATACAGGAACACAATTTTCGGTGTGGTAGTGAATTACGTGTGCAAGGGTATAAGTGCTATGCGGGAAATTCGGATAATCTCAAAGGTGGGGTTGTGATAGGCATAAGGGAGACCAGCCCTTTTAAGCTTGTAGCATGGGAGTGGGGCGGAGGGGGCCGGGTTGTGCATGTGGTGGGTTTGTGGGGGAACATTCAGGTGGGTTTCGTGGGAGTATATATGCCAGCGACAACAAATCGACGAGTAAAAGAGGATTTTGTACGCGATGTTTTGGTTTATTTTCTCAGAAGTCTACCCTTAGTTTCTGTCGTGGCAGGTGATTGGAATTGTGTGATCCGGGAAAAAGACGTCGAACCGCGTGGTGGGGGGTGTAATTTAAGGGTTTTACGTGAGGTATTGCAAGCGATTGGTGTAGTGGATGTTGTGGGTAGCGACGGGTGGAATGTGGAACATACGTTTTGTAGAAGGGGTTACGCTGCGCGGTTGGACAGGGTTTATATCACCAACTTAATCCGTGGTGGCAGGGTCGATTGTGTTGATCTGGGTTTCTCAGATCACCGTGGTGTTCTGGTAACACTCGAGTGGGAGGGCGCTATCCGTGTATTTACTAGTTATTGGAAATTAAATGTCAGCTTGTTGTAAGGAGTCGATGCTGTGGAAGCTTTCAGGTTATGGTGGGTTGACTTCTGGAATAACGGGAATGGGATAGAGGATGTTGTAGAGTGGTGGCATTCAAAGGCGAAACATGCAATACAGGGTTTTTATAGACGGTTAGGGAAGGAGGAGGCGTGTTATAGATATGGGAAGCAAAAATATTTAGAGGACAGCTGAGGGATTGTTATGGTACAGGCGGGAGGTATGACCTAGCGGAAATAGAGTGTCTACATAGTCAATTACGGGAAATTCAGAATGATAAATTTCAGGCTTTGAGGGTGCGAGCTGGGATTGAGGAGGTGCTTTGGGGGGATAAACCCTCAGTTGGGGTTCTGCGTAGTTTCAGAATGCGACGTATGGCGACGACAGTTTTGTCAGTAGTGGTCGGTGATGACTTGGGTGGTTATCATAAAGGACAAAGGCTAGTTACTACTGAGAGCATTGGGACCTATTCAGACCAATGGTTTGAGAGAAAATGGAAGGGTAGAGAGGGGAATCGAGAGGCGAGGGAAGCTTTACTGCGTGGCATAGTGGCAAATTTGAGAGACGTGGATCGAGAGGACATGGAGGGTTGTATATCGGAGGAGGAGGTTTCCAAGGCTGTTCAGGGACAGGCACTGAGGAAATCACCTGGTTGGGATGGGATACCAGGTGATTTTTATGTAGTTCATTGGGAACTGTTAAAACACATGTTGGTTCGACTTTACAATTCAATGAAAACTAGAGGTAGCATGGGCGGTGAAGCGGGGTTGGGTGTTGTAGTATTGGTACCAAAGGCCGAGGTCTGTGAATCTTTGGAGGCATATAGGCCCATCATATTGATGGGGGCGGATTATAAGATTTTTGCGCGTATTTTGGCAAACCGGATGAAACGAGTTTTGGACAAGGTAATATGGGAAGGGCAATACGGGATTCCTGGCCGATCTATGAGAGATGGTCATCGACGCCTCAAAAGTTTCGTGAAAGATTGTAGTGGAGGCGGAGTCATAGGATTGGATTGGGAAAAGGCTTTTGACAATGTGGATAGGGAAACATTATTAGCTATATTATTGAAGCAGGGTTTCGGGGAAGAAATAGTAGCGTGGGTACGTATGTTATATACGGAGGCACAGGTACGAGTCCAGGTCAGTGGGAGGGTGGGGTCCGCGATAGGCATGGGGTGGGGGCTGCGGCAGGGGTGTCCCCTCTCGCAGCTTTTGTTTGCCTGTTTGCAGGACCCCTTTTATAGATTGGTAATGGGTGGGGTGGGGGGGGAGGATTGTGCACAGGAAGAAGCAGTAGAAATTTTAGGTTATGTGGACGATACCACCATCTTGGTGCATAGTAGGAATGGTTTAGCGTTCATAAATAAGGTTATAAGGTTTTTTAGCGATGCGTCTTCCATGCGCATTAATAGAGAAAAATCCAAACTTTTGGAGGTGGGGTCCTGGGTGGGCGGGACGTTAGGTACGGAGTATGGGTGGAGAACCGTTGAGCGGATAAAGATCTGTGGTGTGCATTTTTGCAATGACGAACAGGCAGCGCGTGCATTTAATTCATCCATTGTAGTTACAGCTGCAATTCGTAGGATGGTGGTATGGAGACCAGGTGATGTAACATTACACCAAAGAGTAATAGTTGTCAACGTACTGGTGTATAGTAAATTATGGTTTGTTTCAGCGGTCTATCCATTGATGACGGACGATGTGTTGCGGTTACAGAGGAAGGCTTTGGATTTCATATGGGGTTACCATAGGCATTGGTTAGGGAAAGACATAGTTATGACGCACGTAACTCGGGGAGGTTTGGGGCTAATACCACTACACAGTCGACTAATGGGCATATATGTACGACAGGAATACCTAACAAGGGGTGGGGTCAGGGGAGTGAGAGTTGATGCAGTGATGAGGGAGGTTCGACGATGGTGGGTGGGGAAGGACCTCACAAGGTGCGAAGCAATGTTACGGCACTTATTGATGGTGCAAAACCCTGTGAGAGTTAAGGCAGGTAAACTAGATAATATAGGTATAACATCGGCGGAAGTCATCGGTGCTGAGGTTTTCCCAGGATATAATTGGAAGACTATATGGCAGGGGTTCAAGAAATTGCGCTTACAACCACGGGTTAGGGAAACTGGTTACCGATTCCTCCACGGGATTTTGGCGTCCAAGGCACAATTGTACATTATGGGAATGGCCCAGGATCAGACCTGTGCGTGGTGTGGGTGGCCGGAAACGGCGTTTCTTGTTGTATACTTTTGTGACAGTTTACATAAGGTTAGGGATTGGTTCAAGGGTGTTCTCCGAAGAGTGGGAGGGGGGGTTTGTCGATGCTTAGAGTTTTGAGTCTTGAAATGGGAGATTGCTCGGATGCTGTACGACGTTCTGTGTCATATTTGGTACTTGACTATTTATATGTGTCATGGGGTATTCGGGGGCTTAGGGATGCGATGCGTGTCAAGGCGCT